AGGTGAGCACTCTACCACTTGAGCTACAGCGCCACTTCCAGTTTTCTGGTGGTTTATTGGAGATAAGAGTTTCACAGACTTTCTTGCCCAGGCTGGCTTTAAACTGAGATCCTCAAATCTCTGCCTCCTGAGTAGCTAGGATTACAGGCGTGAGCCACAGGCACCCAGCTGAGTAGTTTATTGTAGATAAGTCTCTTGCACTTTCTTGCCCAGGTTGGCTTCAAACCAAGATCTTCAGATCTCACTCTTTGGAATAGGATTACAGGTGTGAGCCACAGGTGTGGTTCTTTCTCTCTCTTTTTAAAATTTCAAAGTGTGTATTAATGGTACTAAGGGGTTTCGCCATCTATAATGTGTGTGTGTATGTATAAATACCAGTTGTATACATGGTAGCAAACCTATAGTTTTCATGTTCTTTCTTTCTTCAGTAACCCTTGTATTCTTGTTTCAACAGTCCTGGCATTATAATACTTATAGAAATATTCTATCTTCGGAGCTGGGAAGTTGGCTCAGTGGTAGAGCACTTGCCTTGCATGCCTGAGGCCCTGGGTTTGATTCCTCAGCACCACATAAGCAAAAAGAAAAAAGCTGGAAGTGGCGCTGTGGCTCAGGTGGTAGATAACTAGCCTTGAGCTGAAGAGCTGAGGGACAGCACCCAGGCCCAGAGTTCAGGCCCCACAACCGGACCTAAAAAAAAAAAAAAAAAAAAAAAAGAAATATTCTATCTTCATTCCCGGCATGGTGGCTCATGCTTATAATCCTAGCTACTTAGGAGACAGAGCTAAGAAAAAAGAAAGGAAAGGAAGGAAAGAGAATGGAGGGGAGGGCTGGGATCAGCTCAGTGGTCGAGCGCTTGCCTTGCATGCATGAGGCCCTGGGTTCGATTCCTCAGCGCCACATAAGCAGGAAAAAAAAGCTGGAAGTGGCATTGTGGCTCAAGTGGTAGAGTGCTAGCCTTGAGCTGAAGAGCTGAGGGACAGCACCAAGGCTTAGAGTTCAAGTCCCATGACCAGACCCCCCCCCAAAAAAAAAAGGGAGGGGAGGGGATAGGGAGGGGAGAGAATCAAAGGGACATTCTCTTACCATGGAGAAGGGGTGGAGGAGTTCCCAGTCTCCACTTGGAGAGCAGAGCACATGGCTTGGGTCTGGATTTGCTGATTCTCTTTTTGCTGCTGGCATCATGAATTGTCATCACCACCCCAGGCCTAGAGTCACATGCTTGGGAGAAGCAGCTCTGTTTGCTCAAGTAGAGAGAAGTAATAGTAACTCCTGAAAGATGAGTAAGGTCATATCTTATTGAGTAATCTGTATATTGTGAACTCAGGAAGCAAGATTAGAATGTAGGTCACAGTCGTCTTGATTATAATGTAAGTAAAAGGTGCACTCATATGAGAGAGGTGAGAACAAACTGGCACAAACCTCATAGGTGTTTTTTGTGGGTTTTTTGTTGTTGTTTTGTTTTGTGCCAGTACTAGGGCCTGAACGGAGGACCTTGTGCTCTTGTTCAGCTTTTTTATTCAAGGCTGGCACTCAACCACTTGAACCACAGCTCCACTTCCTGACTTGCAGCTTTGTTGCTGATTAATTGGAGTAAAAGAGTCTGTTAAGGCTGGGTACCAGTGGCTCACAGTTGTAATCCTAGCTACTCAGTAGACTAAGATCTGAGGATCTCAGTTTAAAGCCAGCCCCTGGCAGGAAATTCTGTGAGACTCTTATCTCCAATTAACTACCAGGAAACCAGAAGTGGCACTATGGTTCAAAGAGGTAGAGCACTAGCCTTGAGCAAAAAGCTCAGGGACATCACCCAGGCCTGAGTTCAAGCCCCACGACTGACCAAAAAAACCAAAACTTATCAAACTTTTCTGCCTGGGTTGTCTTGAACCTCTGTCAACAGAACTCAGCCTCCTGAATAGCTAGGATTACAGGCATGAGTCACTAGCACCTGACTGGTAGGCTTTGATTATCACTGTAGATCTAGCAATTCAATAGAAATCTCAAGTGATTTTTTTTTCTTATGGCAGAATGGGGTTCCAACCACTAGTAAGAAGCATATTCCACATTAATCAAGATTTTGTTTATTTTTTTGTTTTTACCAGTCCTGGAGCTTGAACTCAGGGTCTGGGTATTGTCCCTAAGCTTCTTTTGCTCAAGGCCAGCACTCTACCACTTGAGCCACAGCAATACTTCTGACTGTTTCTGTCTATGTGGTACTGAGGAATCAAACCCAGGGATTCATTCATGCTAGGCTAGCACTCTATCATTAAAGCACATTCCCAGTCATGTTTCTTTTTTCTTTTGTTAACTACCCTAATTTTTACCATCACTCTCCCAAAAAAGAAAGGAAAAAAAATCTAGAGATGAAATTAGTATCGTGGGGGCTGGGAACGTGGCTCAGTGGTAGAGCATGAGGCCCTGGGTTCGATTCCTCAGCACCACATAAGCAAAAAGAAAAAAGCCGCTGTGGCGCAAGTGGTAGAGTGCTAGGCTTGAGCTGAAGAGCAGAGGGACAGTGCCCAGGCCCAGAGTTCAGGCACCACAACTGGACCCCCCCCCCCAAAAAAAAGAAATTAGTATCATGCTTTATGCTTTGAATGCCAAGGAATACCTGGAGCATGAATGTGATATAATAACAAAATGCCGGGGGCAGGGAAGTTGGCTCAGTGGTAGAGCGCTTGCCTTGCATGCCTGAGGCCCTGGGTTCCATTCCTCAGCACCACATAAACAAAAAGAAAAAAGCCGGAAGTGGCGCTGTGGCTCAAGTGGTAGAGTGCTAGCCTTGAGCTGAAGAGCTGAGGGACAGTGCCCAGGCCCAGAGTTCAGGCCCCACGACTGGACCCAAAAAAAAAAAAAAAGAATAACAAAATGCCCTCCTACACGAAGGGATGCAAATTTAGGTAGAGTATTAGTAATCAAATATAAAAGAAAAGAAAACATTAGCCGGGCACTGGTAGCTCTTGCCTCTAATCCTAGCTACTCAGACTGAGATCTGAGGATCAAAGTTTAAAGCCACTCTGGGCAGGAAAGTCTGTGACACTATTACTCCAATTAAGCACCAAAAATGGCTGGAAGTGGAGCTGTGGCTCAAGTGGTAGAGCACTAGCCTTGAGCACACAAGTTGAAAGACAGCATTCAGGCCCTGGGTTCAACCCCTGTGACTGACAAAACAAAATAAAACAAAACAAAAAAGCAAAAAACAGCCAGGTGTTGGTGTCTCGGGCCTGTAATCCTAGCTACTCAGGAGGCTGAGATCTGAGGATCACAGTTCAAAGTCAGCCTGGGCAGGAAACTCCGAGTGACTCTTATCTCTAATAAACCACTCAGAAACAGGAAGTGGTGCTGTGTGGCTCAAGTGGTAGAGCACTCACCTTGACCTGAAGAGCTGAGAGACAGCGCCCAGGCCCAGAGTTCAAGACCCACGACCAACAACAACAACAAAAAGAAGAAAGAAACACTAAAACCTGATTACACCATAAGGATATAAACTGCTTTGATAAAAAATATCCATGTTTCAGACAGTCTGGCCTTTTATTGTTTTTTGTTTGTTTGGTATTGTCTGTGTTTCCTTCTTTCTTTGTTTCTCTCCTTGTTTCTTTGTTTCTTTCTTTCTTGTCACAGAAATTGAACTCAGGGCCTAGCAATGTCCCTAAACTTTTCTGCTCAAGGCTAGCTCACTACCACTTTGAGCCACAGCTCCACTTCTGGCTTTTGGGTAGTTAATTGGAGATAAGAGTCTCATGAACTTTCCTGCCCAGGCTGTTTTTGAATCATGATTCTCAGAACTCAGCCTCAGTAGCTAGGATTAGATATGAGCCACCAGCACCCAGCAGGACCTCATGCTCTTGCTTAGCTTTTTACTCAAGGCTGGTGCTCAACTAATTGAGCCACACCTCCACTTCTGATTTTTGCTGATTAATTGGAGATAAGAGTCTTAGATTTTTCTTTAAACCAGGATCCTCAGATCTCAGCCTTCTGAGTAGCCAGGATTACAGGCATGAGCCACTGGCACTCAGCTTTTATTTATTTATTTTAATGAATTTGGTAAAAATATATGTAGAATGAGACAAGAGTTGTAACATCTATTTTTTTGGGGGGGGATGGGGATCCGGTTGTGGGGCCTGAACTCTGGGCCTGGGCGCTGTCCCTCAGCTCTTCAGCTCAAGGCTAGCGCTCTACCACTTGAGCCACAGAGCCACTTCCGGCTTTTTTTTTTCTGCTTATGTGGTGCTGAGGAATCGAACCCAGGGCCTCAGGCATGCAAGGCAAGTACTCTACCATTGAGCCACCTTCTCAGCCCCTATTTTTTTTTTTTTTAACCAGTGCTGGGGCTTGAACTCTGGGCCTGGACACTGTCCCTGAACTTCCTTTATTCAAGGCTAGTACTCTACCACTCAAGCCACAGTGCCCCTTCTCGCTTTTTTGAGTTTATTGTTTATTGGAGATAACAGTCTCATGAATTTTCCTGCCCTCTCTGCCTCCTGATTAGCTAGTATTACAGGCGTGAGCCACTGGTGCCCAGCACCACCATGGACTTAAGAGTCAGACATTCAATTGTGTTCTGTAGCACCTGAGCTCTTCAGCTCAAGGCTGTGCTCTACCATGGGAACCACAGCACTACTTCTGGTTGTCTGGTGATTAATTGGAGCTAAGAGTCTCATGGACTCCTGCCCAGGCTGGCTTTGAACTGTGATCCTCAGATCTCAGCCTCCTGAGTAGCTAGGATTACAGGTATGAGCCACTGGCGCCTGGCAAGTTCCTTTTTTTCTAAACCGTTCACAAGTTTCTGTTAGCCTCATTATGCCTGGCAGATAGGTAAGACAGTTACATATTTTCTTCCTCTATGCCATAGGGATTCTTGTAGTTGTCTTTTTTCATTTCCTTATTTTCCTGTCGAGTCACTACTTTTAACACTTGGTGTCATCTTTTGCCAGGAGCTAGGCACTTCCCCCGTGTCTAGCCTCCAAATGTACAATCTCTGACCTTCTGTTCTCTGTCTCCTGCAGCCATATGTGTCATTGGCTCAGCAGATGGCACCTCCTAGTCCGAGCAACAGCACCCCTAACAGCAGCAGCGGGAATAACGGGAACGAGCAGTTGAGCAAAACCAACCTGTACATCCGGGGACTGCAGCCAGGCACTACGGATCAGGACCTTGTTCGATTGTGTCAGCCGTAAGTTTCAGGACACTCGCTTCCAGGGACAAACGCTCTGCTGAAAGCCTTTGTGCTGTGCTTACGACCCACAGATGCCATGAGATGCTTAGCCTATCCCCTTCAAAGAATTCGGAGCTGGGTGTGGCGCACCTGTTATTTCAGTACTTGGGAGGAAGAGGCAGGGAGATCATGAGTTTAAGGCTGGCTTGGGCTATGTAGCAAATTTGAAGCCAGCCTCAGGTATACAGTGAGATCTGCCTTATAAAGAAAAAAAAATTCTTTTTTTCTTTTGGGTCTGGTCGTGGGGCCTGAACTCTGGGCCTGGGCGCTGTCCTTCAGCTCTTCAGCTCAAGGCTAGCGCTCTACCACTTGAGCTACAGCGCCACTTCTGGCTTTTTTCTTTTTGCTTATGTGGTGCTGAGGAATGGAACCCAGGGCCTCAGGCATGCAAGGCAAGCGCTCTACCACTGAGCCACCTTCCCAGCCCTGAAAAAAAAAAAAAATTCTTGAAAGGGGCACCGGTGGCTCAAGCCCATAATCGTAGCTACTCAGGAGGTGAGATCTGAGGATGGAGGTTCAAAGCCAGTCCTAGCAGGAAAGTCTGAGACTCTTTTTGTTTTTTTTTTTTTGGTCATGGGGCTTGAACTCTGGGCCTGGGCACTGTCCTTCAGCTCAAGGTTAGTGCTCTACCACTTGAGCCACAGGGCCATTTCTGGTTTTCTAGTGGTTTATTGGAGATAAGAGTCTCACTGGACTTAAAGCCTTGGCTGGCTTTGAACCAAGACCCTCAGATCTCAGCCTCCTGAGTAGCTAAGATTACAGGCGCTTGGCCACTGGCGCTTGGCTTGTGACTCCTATCTCCAATTAACCTCCAGAAAACTAGAAGTGGTGATGTGGCTCAAAGTGATAGAGTGCTAGCCTTGAGCAAAAAGGAGCTCAGAGATAGCACCCAAGCCCAGAGTTCAAGTTCCAGGAATGGCAAACTCAATCAATCAATCTTGTTGTTGATATATATATTATTATATATACCATATATATACATATACTATATATACATGTATATGCATGTGTGTGTGTGTGCTAGTCCTGGGGCTTAAACTCAGGGCCTAGGTATTGTCCCTGAGCTTTTTTGCTCAAGGCTAACTAGCTCTACCACTTTGAACTCCAGCTCTTCCAGCTTTTTGGTGCTTAATTGAAAATAAGAGTCTTACTGAGTAGCTATGATGATAGATAGGCTTGAGCCACTGGTGCTCAGCACTTGTGGGTTTTTTGTTTTGCCTTTTTAAAGATGCTGGGGTTTGAACTCAGGGTCCTGTTCTTTCTCAGCTTGTGTCCACCACTTAAGCCATACCTCCAGCTTGACTTTTTTTTTTTTGGGGGGGGGGTCCGGTCATGGGGCCTGAACTCTGGGCCTGGGAGCTGTCCCTCAGCTCTTCAGTCCAAGGCTCTACCACTTGAGCCACAGCGCCACTTCTGGCTTTTTTCTTTTTGCTTATGTGGTGCTGAGGAATCGAACCCAGGGCCTCATGCATGCAAGGCAAGTGCTCTACCACTGAGCCACCTTCCCAGCCCCTCTAGCTTGGCTTTTTGCTGGTATATTAGACATAAGAGTTATATAGACTTCTCTGCCCATGCTGGATTTGAACCACAGTTCTTAGATCTCAGCCTCCCGAGTAGCTAGGATTCCAGGTGTGAGCCACCAGTGCCCAATCTTTACGGTTTTTGTTTTTTTGGAAGCCAGGATGAGCCTGGCCTTTGAACCTAGCATCTAACTTTTCCAGTATCCCCCCAAATTAATAACGCAAAGACTACAGTGCTTTCATCTTGAGCACAGGATGTTCATTTATTTCTATAAATAGTGATGAGATGAGAAGAAATGGAAATAGCCCACTTCTGGAGATGCTCCTGGTGAATGGACAGGTCCTCACAGTAGTGAGTAAAGAAGGTATAAGGAAAGGCTGTCCCTCTATCTGACTATGCAGACTCCAAGATAGTGATAATAAGCAGAGGACATGTATGTATATGTGTGTATATGCACACACATATGCACATGTACTCTCATGCACCAATTCTGGAGCTTGAACTCAGTACCTATGTGCTGTCCCTGAGCTTTTTTTTGAGTGAGACTAGTGCTCTATCATTTGAGCCACAGCTCCACTTCTGGCTTTTTGGTAACTATTTGGAGATAAGAGCTGGCTTTGAATCTGGATTCTCAAATCTCAGCCTTTTGAGTAGCAAGGATTACAAGTATGAGTCACTTGTGCCTGGCTCAGCTCAATTTCATTTGTCAGAAAAGCATGCATTTCAAATAATGTGTTTGTAGAAACCATTTGAGAAAGAAGTCTAGAATGGCATGAGGAAAGTAATAGGGAGAGGAAAGAAGTGAATTTTGGTTAAGTGAATAGTGCAAAGAGGTAGAAATAAGGACTGTGTACAGTTATCATCTATTATAACTTTGTGTGTATGTTGCATGCGTGCACACGTGCTTGTACATGAATGCACATATACATGCACATGCCTGTACTGGGCCTTGAATTCAATGCCTTGAGCTCTGACTTAGCTTTCTTGCTCAAGGCTGATGCTCTACCACTTGAGCCACAGCTCCACTTCCTGCTTTATTTGGCAGTAAATTGGAAATAAGTATCTCATAGACTTTCCTGATCAGGCTAGCTTCAAACCATAATCCTCAGATCTCAGCCTCCTGAGTAGGTAGGATTGATTACAGGCATGAGCCCCCCCGACCTCCTACCCCTCACACCAATCTTTGAATTCCTTACTATTTATTGCAATAAACATAAAATCTAACTAACTAAAAAAAATCTTGTCACTCCATAGGGTAGAGAAGAAACTCAGTTTGATTTCTTTGTTTTGAGACTTCTACCTTGTCCATCTGAAAGCCATGAAGGAATGGAGAAGGGGAAGGAAGGAAGGAAGGAAGGAAGGAAGGAAGGAAGGGAGGAAGGAAGGGAGGGAGGGAGGGAGGGAGGGAGGGAGGGAAGTAGGGAGGGAAGTAGGGAGGGAGGGAGGGAGGCCCAGAAACTGTCTGTGGAGGAGTAGGCTGGTAGCAGGGAGGCTGGTGGTGCATGTGAGCAGATGAGAGGAGGCAGGCTGGATGGCCAGCAGTGAGTTAAGCAGTCTAAGAAGGGTGTTATTTCCATGAGCAGAAGGACTTCCTGCCTTTGTCCCAGTAGTCTCTTCCGGGGCTGAAGTGGTAGTGTGGAGAGGAGGGGGGAGTAAATATTGTTGGCTCCTAAACTCTGGTGCACCGGAAGAAGAGGCGAGGTCTGGGCCTGGAGCTCCTGGTTCTCTTGGAGGGGTTGCTCCTTCCATGGAGGAAGCAGCAGTCACCCAGCTGTTGCCAGCTGCAGTGGAAATTCTGAGCTCCAAGTCTCAGGCTGCTAGACCACAGCAAGCTCCACCCTGGGGCCTTGACGGGGATAGCAGCATGCTCGTCCTCTGGCCTGCAGTCAGACTTCTCCTGAGTCCCTCCTCTTGCCTAAATTTGGGAAGGAATCCAAGAATGTAGGCCAGAAGGGCCAAGATCTCCACATCTACCCCACCCCCACCCCACCTCCTTTTCTTGTGCTCTTTTCCCAGCCGCTGGGCCTTTGCCTGGTTTATGCTGTCTAATCCTTTGGGTCACAGAAGCTCCACTAAAAAAGTCAGTGAGAGACTGCCAAGGAGTAAAAACAAATCAATCAGCCGAGGGCCTTGAGGGATAAGAGGAGAAGATGGGAGGGGGAAAAAATGCTTGTTTGGGTTCTCAGTCTCAAATTCAGTTCCTGCCAACAGTTTCCAGTTAGCTCTTGTACTTTTGACTTTGTTAGTGGTTTCTGCTCTGTCTCTTTAACATCTTCCCCCTCCCTTCTCCCTCCTGTTCCCACTCCCTTGCTGGAATGTGGAGACTTTTTTTCCTGGTGGAACACCTCTCATCTAACCCCTCACCCATGAGTCTCCACTACTCAAGTTTTTGGAGTACAGGCTGTGCTTGCATGAAAGCAGAATTTCCAAAAAGTTGAAAACCGTGACTCACAAATTTAGAGAGGACAGATGTCAGAGATTGTGGAGCACTGAGGCAACCAGCAAGATGAAAAACACAGGTTCAATCACTGAAGGAAAAATGTTGGAAGAAGATTGCAAATAGATACAGAAACTACTTCATGTCCACCAGCCTTTAGAATTGTGTGTATGTATGTCTGTGTGTGGTGTTCAGCCTGGACCCCCAGGGCCTTATAAAAACTGTAGAAGTGCTCTGCCACTGAACCAAGGCCTGGGATTAGTTTCTCCAATGGAGAGAAGCAATTTGCATTTGTGTTGAACAAAAATCTACAAGTCAACATGTATCTTTACCAAGTCTGAGTCTTAATGTGTAGTGAGTAGATAGTAATCAAATAAACATGAAGAAAATGAAATACAGTAAGCACACCTTACTCTTGAATGCATTACACACAATTTTGACCCAGTATAAATATAAGAAATAAAACTCAAAGCTGGGCACTGGTGGCTCACACCTGTAATCCTAACTACTCAGGAGGCTGAGACCTGAGGATCACAGTTCAAAGCCAGTCCTGGCAGGAAAGTCCTTGATACTCTTTTTTTTTTTTTTTGTCGGTCGTGGGGCTTGAACTCTGGGCCTGGGTACTGTCCCTCAGCTCTTCAGCTCAAGGCGAGCGCTCTACCACTTGAGCTACAGTGCCACTTCCGGTTTTCTGGTGGTTTATTGGAGATAGGAGTCTCACGGTTTCTCCTGCCCGGGCTGGCTTTGAACTGCAATCTTCAGATCTCAGCCTCCTGAGTAGCTAGGATTACAGGCGTGAGCCACCAGCGCCCGGCTCCTTGATACTCTTATCTCTAATTAACCACCAGAAAACCGGAAGTGGCACTGTGGCTCCAGTGGTAGAGTGCTGGCCTTGAGCAAAAAGAGCTGAGGGACAGTGCCCAGTCCCTGAGTTCAAGCCCTATGACCAACAAAAAAAAAAAAAAGTGTCACAGATGTATTCCTGACTAGGCTGGCTTTGAATCAGGATCCTCAGATTTCAGCCTCCTGAGCAGTAAGGATTGCAAGTGTGAGCCACCAGTACCAGCCCCAAAACAACTTTTAAATTCCCCAAGTAAATATCACATAGCTCAGGTAATGTGTAAAAACTTTCACTGGGTCCAACCTTGTGATCTACTTAGTGCTGCTCTGCTTTTAATTTTGTGAAAATCTGCATCCCCAAAAGGCTAATGGTGCCCCCGAAAGCAAGGTGAAAGTTAATTGCTTAATTTAAATGCTGGAGTGAAAATTGGAGAGTTGTGGAAAGGTGGCATCTCTTCAGCAGAAGGCAGGCAGCCTTCTGGGGAAAATGAAGCAAGCATCTGTGGTGCGGGACTGAAGGCTGCGTCCCAAGCAGATCCAACAGCCTTCATATTGGAGCCACACATGCCTTGATACTAAGAGTCTATTCTTGGAATGTTCTACCATGACACTGAAAAAATGTGCAGACCTTCTTTGGCCTTTTTCAGGCTTTAGATGATTATTTTGTCATTCACACTCATTCACACTCTTCTCTGGAAATTTCCTCACTGACACAACAGAGGTCTGCTAATCATCTAGGCATCCCTCCATCCAATCAAGTTGACAACCAAGATTATCCACCACACCATCCTTAATATAACTTTAATCAACCAAAGGTGACTACAAGAAATATAGTAACTAACGGCAGGCATTGATGGATCAGACCTGCAATCCTACCTATTTGGAAGACTGAAATCAGAAGTATCATGGTTGAAGGCCAGCCTGTGCCAAAAAGTTCTTGAAATCCCTTCTCAGCCTATAGCTTTGCACTGTGTCATGGCTGCCTGTAATCCCACACTACTTGGGAAGTAGAGCTTGTAAGGATCGAAGTACAAGGCCAGCCAGGCAAAAGAGCCATAGAGAGAGACTCCATCTGTGTGCCGGGAAGCAAGCTGGGGGCAGTGGTGTGCACCTGTGATTCCAGTCATTTACTTAGGGGAAGCCTAAAAATTGACTGCCTGTGAACAGACAGGCCCGGAATTCATCCAGATGGTTCATCTGCATTCTATCCTTAGTCTCTCCCCAAGATCATCCTTTTCCTTCTCCTTCTCTTAGATATGGCAAGATTGTGTCCACGAAGGCCATCCTGGACAAGACCACAAACAAGTGCAAAGGTGAGAGGATGCTGCTCTTGCTGATGGAACCACAGTGAGGGAGGACATCGCTGCCCTCTGTCCTTTGCTGCTGAGTCTGAGTACCTGGTGCCAGAGAGAAGGCTCTGAGGTTTCCAGGCTTAAAATACTAGTAGGTATTTAGATCCATTAGTGACCAGATGGCTTGAGCTGGAAATACTGTTGGAGTCCCAAGGCCAGAAGCCTCCCCAGAGTTGCTTAGTCTTTTGGGCTGGCTTTAGAACTCACACTTCCCAATAGTGTTGATGGAAGTGGTAGATGGGATGGAGATCCTTTCTACCTAGCAACATAAACACCTTTTGGTGGAAGTGGAAAGATGTCTCGCTAGGTGATGTTTTCCAAAGACACAGTTGCATGAGAGTTTCGAGCAGGTCTCAGGGAGGCTGGGAGGCCAAGAAAGAGCTGAGGTTCAGTGGGGAGCACTACTTCCAGCAGGCGTCTGGTCATCTGCCTGGAAAGGCTGCGTTCCTGGTGTGACTAGCACTTCTGGGGTGTAGATAGAAGAGATATCTAGGGTTCTTTTAATAGTATGGAGGTGGCTGGGGCTGTGGAGTATCAGAAAGCCTAGTAATCCTAATTACTCAGGAGGCTGAGATCTGAGGATCATAGTTCAAAGCCAGCTTGGGCAGAAAAGCCCTTGAGACTCTTACCTCTAATTAAACAGCAAAATGCAAGAAGTAGAGCTATGGCTCAAGTGGTAGAGCCCCAGCCTTGAATGGAAATAAGCCAAGTGGCCGGGCGCTGGTGGCTCACGCCTATAATCCTAACTACTCAGGAGGCTGAGATCTGAGGATCACGGTTCAAAGCCAGCCCAGGCAGGAGAGTCCATGAGACTCTTATCTCCAATAAACCACCAGAAAACCAGAGGTGGTACTCTAGCTCAAGTGGTAGAGCACTAGCCTTGAGCTGAAGAACTCAGGGACAGTGCCCAGGACCAGAGTTCAAACCCATGACTGACCAAAAAATAAATAAGTAAAAAGAAGACAAAGGAGGAGAAAAAGGAGGAGGATGAAGAAGAAGAGGAAGGTGGCCTAGTTCCTGAAACCTCAGATTTTTAGGGAGAAGGAAAAAGGCAAAGATACTACCAGAACTTCATTTGTTCCCTTGGAATTCGTAGCCAGAAGGAGGACCAAAGCTCAGAGTGGGAGGCATGCAGAGACAACCACTGAAACCTCCTAATTCTCTTTCTCCCTGTCACATCCCATACATGGATTCTAACTTTTCCTCTGTCTCCTGAAAAGCCTGGGCCTCCTACCTTGCTCACCCCTCCCCCTCCTTGTGCTGTTTCCCTGTTCCAGGCTATGGCTTTGTGGATTTTGACAGCCCTTCAGCAGCACAAAAGGCTGTAACCGCCCTGAAAGCCAGCGGTGTACAGGCCCAGATGGCAAAGGTAAGGTGCTACCTATGTCTGTCCCTCACCCCCCCACCCCAGGGACTGTGCCCAACACCCAGGCCCCAGGCCCAAGGCTGCTTCTACATGCACAAGCATATGAAATTGATAGGCCAGGGCTGTCTGCAGTGCTTTCTGACAACATCTAACCACAGATAGCCCGAACCAGGGGCCCCTGATCCCCAGGGCTGCTGGAGGAAGATGGCATGCAGTCTGTGGCTGTAGCTCTGTCCACAGTGTGTGTCCTTCTCATCTAGCAGGCAGGAGGCTTAGCCTCTGGCAGCTGCTCCTGCTGCCTCCACCCTGGCCCCACTTCCCTACCACACAGATGGTGATAGTTTTGCAACGTTCCCTGCACAAGCCAGTTGTGCAACTCAGAGATTCAGAACAATATTAGCCACCTCCCAACTCAGCCTCCTGCAGGGGCGGGGCCTGGGCTGGGGAGGGCGAAGCAGAGCGCTAGTTCCTCTTCACTTTTGTCTGCGCTGGCCTTTCCAGCCAGAGCACAGGAAAAGTAGAAGCTTCTCTTGCCCTTCTCCATTTAGATGGGATTGTTCCAGGTACTCTGAAAAAAGCTAATGAGGGCAGCCACCCTTTCTGTAACAATTTTAAAAAAAGGCAACCTTGAGGAGAAAGAAGAGGGCCTAAGGATGCTGTGATCACTGGAAGGAAGAGCACTGCTTCGATTCTTCCTTCTTTCCTTCCTTTTTTCTTTCTTTCCTTCCTTCTTTCCCTTTTCTCTCTTCCCTTTCTTCCTTCTTTTCTTTCCCATTCCCTTCCTTTCCCTTCCACTCTCTCTCCCTCCCTCCCTCCCTTCCTTCCTTCCTTCCTTCCTTCCTTCCTCTCTTCCTTCCTTCCTCCCTTGTCAGTCTTGGGGACTCGTATTCAGGGCCTGGGTGCTGTCTTTCAGAGTTTTTTTTGCTCAAGACTAGAACTCTACCACTTGGGCCACAATTCCACTTCTGGATTTCTGGTTGTTAATTGGCTTTAAACTTCAGTCCTCAGATCTCAGCTTTATGAGTACCTAAGATTATAGGTGTGAGCTACCAGACCCCAACTCAATTCTTAAAACTGAGGAGCTTCTGGGCTGGGAAGGTGGCTCAGTGGTAGAGTGCTTGCCTCACATGCATGAGGCCCTAGGTTCCATTCCTCAGCACCACATAAGCAGAAAAGACCAGAAGTGGCGCTGTGGCTCAAGTGGTAGAGCACTAGCCTTGAGCTGAAGAACTAAGGGACAGCGCCCAGGCCCAGAGTTCAGGCCTCACAACCAAATAATAAATAAATAAATAAATTGAGGAGCTTCTGCCCTTGTACACATTCTGCCCCTTCTAGAGTATAACCTTTGGCCACAGCTCTGATATTTAGAGGCTCAGAGTACCATCCAGGTGACCCACTGAGTTACACCTTTGGCCCTTTTTCTGTCCACTTCTCCCCTCTTCTTGCTTTCCTTCCATCAGTGACTGCACAGGCATTCCTGCCCAGAGGTTCTGTCATGACCAGAGGAGAGCAGGGAGATTACTCAGAACATCCCTGTCCTGGAGAGGGCAGTTGAAGGAGCCCAACTCTTAGGGACAGGCGGCTGGGGGAGAGGAGACCTGCTCTGCCTGGCTCTTAAAGGGATACCCAGATGCCATCAGGAACTTGTTCCATGGGATTGTACTAGAAATACTAAATCTCCTTTTTTTCTTCCTGGACTACTCAGTCTCCAGCTCATGGTGGTAGGACTGGATGCTACAAATTCTTAAGATTCGCTTCCTCCTGTCTCTATTTGAAATGTCATTGTGTAGAGGAAGATGAGAAATAGGAACTTCATTTTCTCACTTTTATTTCCATAGCAACAGGAACAGGACCCCACAAATTTATACATCTCAAACCTCCCACTGTCGATGGATGAGCAGGAGCTGGAGGGGATGTTGAAGCCCTTTGGCCAGGTTATCTCCACCCGAATCCTTCGAGATACCAGTGGGACCAGCAGAGGGGTTGGATTTGCCAGGTGAGGGATGTAAGAGTGAGAGATGGTAAAGTTAATAAAAAGGTCACTTAGGATGCCAGAAAACCTGTGTCTCTCCTCTCTATAAGATGCCAAATCAGTGGTCAGAAATACTCAACAGTAAGTGTTCATGTCATTTTTATTTTTGGCAGTATTGGTGTTTAAGCTCTAGGCCACCCATTAGGTAAGGCTTCTACCATTTGAGAGCCACACTCTCAGCCGTCTTTGCTTCAGTTATTATAATTATTTTTTCCTGGTTGTGGGGCTTGAACTCAGGGCCTGGGTACTGTTCCTGAGCCTTTTTGTTCCAGGCTAGCACTCTACTACTTTGAGCCACAGCGCAATTTCCAGTTTTCTGGTGGTTAATTGGAGATAAGAGTCTCATGGAGCTGTGTGCTGGTGGCTCACACCTGTAGTCCTAGCTACTCAGGAGGTTGAAATCTGAAGATCGAGGTTCAAAGCCACCCAAGGCAGGAATGTCTGTGAGACTTATCTCCAACTAACCACCGGAAAACCAGAAGTGGAAGTGGTGCTGTGGCTCAAGTGCTAGAGCGCTAGCCTTGAGCTGAATTGCTCAGGGACAGCAACCAGGCCCAGAGTTCAAGCCCCAGGACCAACAAAAAAGAATCTCATGGACTTTCCTGCCAGGGCTGGCTTCAAATAGAGATCCTTAGATCTCAGCCTCCTGAATAGCTAGGATTATAGTCATAAGCTTGGCTCCATAATTATTATTTTTATCAATCACTAGGGCTTGAAGTCAGGACCTGGATACTGTCCATTTGTTTTTGTTTTTACAGTCATGGACTTGAATTCAGGGCGTGGGTACTGTCCCTGAGCTCTTTGCTCAAGGCTAGTGATCTACTGCTTTGAGCTACAGCTCCACTTCCAGTTTTCTGTTGGTTAATTGGAGATAAGAGTCTGATGGACTTTCCTGCCCAGGATGGATTTGAACCATGTTCCTCAGATCTCTGCTTTCTGAGTTGCTAGGATTACAAGTGTGAGCCACCAGCACCCAGCTTACTTCAGTTATTTTTCAACCAGGATCTCAGGACTTTGCCTGGAATGGCCCAGACTGCAATTGTATTTATGCTTCCCAAGTAGTTGGAATGGCTTCGAATCACGATCTTTATATCTCAGTCCCGTGAGTAGCTAGGATTTCAGGCGTGAACCATCCTACTGATGCTTGGCTTTGGCCTTTGTTCCTTTGATCCAGACTCAGACCCAACCAGAATAAAATAAATACATATTTCTTTAGCTAAGTAATTTTTCCGTCTGTTACCTCATTTATTCTTTACAACCCTGTGAGGTAAATATTCTTTTTTTTTTTTTGGTTGTTGTTGTTGGTTGTGGGTCTTGAACTCTGGGCCTGGGCACTGTCCCTGAGCTCTTCAGCTCAAGGCCAGTGCTCTACCACTTGAGCCACTGCACCAATTCTGTTTTTTTGGTGGCAAATTGGAGATAAGAGTCTCACAGATGTTCCTGCCTGGGCTGGCTTTGAACCATGACCATGATCCTCAAATTTCAGCTTCCTGAGTAGCTAGGAATACAGGTGTGAGCCACAGGTGTATGTCAGTATTCTCTATTTTATGCATGAATACAGTGGTTTCCCTAGGGAAAAGCTATCTGTCTTAAGTCTCACAACAGGAGAACAGAGGCCTGATCCTTCTGGCTTGGAGGTCAGTAGAATGAAGTGGAAGGTCTGGTCCATCTTTTCAGGTCTGTTGGAAGACCTACGTTCTAGAACAGATTCTGTCACTAACTGCCCTAGTGATACCAGATTTTGGTTCTCAATCAAAATGAGTCATTTTCTTACCCTGTTTCCTAGAGTGGAGTGCTCCAAGTTGCCCTCTTCTGGGCTCGAATGTCATTGTTAAGGAGCTTCCACGATGTATAGTCCACAAAAGAATAATCTGCTTTTTATCGGGGGGGGGGGGGGGGGGGGGGGGCGGCGGGCACTAGGGCTTGAACTCAGGGCTGAGATGCTCTCCCTTAGCTTTTCATTCAAGTCTGATGCTCTGTCACTTGAGTCACAGCTCTACTTCCAACTTTTTGCTGGTTAACTGGAGATAAGAATCTCACAGGGGCTGGGAAGGTGGCTCAGTGGTAGAGCGCTTGCCTTGCATGCCTGAGGCCCTGGGTTCCATTCCTCAGCACCACATAAGCAGAAAAAAAAGAGCCGGAAGTGGCGCTGTGGCTCAAGTGGTAGAGCACTAGCCTTGAGCTGAAGAGCTGAGGGACAGCACCCAGGCCCAGAGTTCAGGCCCCACGACCGGACCCAAAAAAAAAAAAAAAAAAGAATCTCACAAACTTTTTTGCTCAAGTTGGCTTCAAACCTCAATCCTCAGATCTCAGCCTCCTGAGGGTAGCTAGGATTACAGGTGTATAGCCCCCAAATGCCCGGCTAATAATCTGCTTTTATCATAAGATTTTGTTTTGCTGGCACATTAACCCCAGCACTCAGGAGTCTAAGGCAGGAGGATTTCTGAGTTCAAGCAATACAATGAGTTCAAGGTTAGCCTGAGTTATAGTGAGATCCTGTCTCAAATAAAACAAAAAGTAGAGGCCTTGGGTTCCATCCTCCACACCATGTTTTTAAAAGTTTAATTTGAAAAGATATTCTGTAACTGGTGTGTGTGTGTGTGTGTGTGTGTGTGTGTCTGTGTGTCTGTGTGTGTCTGTGTGTGTGTGTCTGTGTCTGTTGTGGGGCCTAATCTCTGGGCCTGGGCGCTGTCCCTCAGCTCTTCAGCTCAAGGCTAGCGCTCTACCACTTGAGCCACCTTTCCAGCCCCTGTAAGTGTTTTTTGAAGTTTGAAAACTTTTAGACTAAGTGATTTGAGAATCCTGTTCTGTCTTCCACTGTCCTGTCTGGCAAGAACTTCCAGCGGACTAAGATTCTGGAAAGGAATAAGTCCTTCCCCAGAGGGATAAAGTAGCTAGGTAGCTCCACCTGCTGGCAGGCCTGGGTATAATCATACAAGAGTTCTAGACCACACATCACTTTTTTCTGCTCCCCTATTCCTTCCTTCCTTCCTTCCTTCCTTCCTTCCTTCCTTCCTTTTTTTGCTGGTCCTGGGACTTGAGCTCAGGAACTGGACACTGTCCCTTGGCTTTTTTTTTTGTTGGTCGTGGGTCTTGAACTCTGGACCTGGGCCCTGTCCCTGTGCTCTTCAGCTCAAGGCGAGTGCTTTACCACTTGAACCACAGTGCTACTTCCGGTTTTCTGGTGGTTAGTTGGAGATAAGAGTCTCACAGATGTTCCTTCCCTGGCTGGCTTTGAACCTCAATCCTCAAATCTCAGCCTCCTGAGTAGCTAGGATTACAGGCATGAGCCACCAGTGCCCAGCGATAATTTTTTTTAACATGTCATTGAACACTAATCTGAAGTGTTCCAATTGCATTGGAAGCAGATGATTGGAAACCATCTGACTTATAAAAAGGGATTTAGACCTCATCCTTCCATTCCTACTGTTGAGGGTTCTTTTTTTGTTTTTGTTTTCCGTCATGGAGCTTGAACTCAGAGCCTGGGCTGTCCCTGAGCATCTTTTTGCTTAAGGCTAGCACTCTACCTATTGAACCACAGCACTACTTCCAGGTTTTTCTGTTTATGTGGTACTGAGGAATCAAACCCAGGGCTTCATGCATGCTAGGCAAGCACTCTACCACTAAGATACATTCCCAGCCTCTGCTGTTGAGTTTTGCTGGGGTTTGAACTCAGGGCCTTGTTCAGCTAGTGCTCTATCATTTGATATATGCCTCCAGCCCAACTTTTTGCTTGTTATTTTGGAAACAGTTTTACAGACTTTTCTTCTCAGGCTAGCTAAGAACCACAATCCAGTGCCAGGCTTCTGCTATTGAGTTTTAGGATAGGGGAGAAGTTAGTTGAGAGGCATGATTGGGAAAGGTGACTGGGCCTTACTCATTAGGAATCCCGAGTCTTCATTCTGCACAGGAGGGGAAGAGTTTACAGGAAGCCAAGGCTCTGAAACACTGCTGCATACCTTTGAAAACAATATACATGGAGGTCACTGAAGGAGACCAAGCTAGGATTCCTAAGGTGTGGTTTTCTCTAGAAGATTCCATTTGAGGTCTTTTTTACATTTATGTCCCATACTGGAATGGCTCATATTTTTAGTGGTTATTGGCATTGAAAATATACCAAGATTTAATTAAAATATGAGCAAGTGAGCCAGACACTAGTGTCTCATGCCTGTAATCCTAGCAACTCAGGAAACTGAGATATGCAGATCACAGCCCAAGCAGGAAAATCTGTGACTCTTATCTGGCTAACCAACAAAAAACACCAGAAGCAAAGCCGTGACTCAAGTGATAAAGTGTTAGACTTGAGCGAAAAAAGTAAGGGGCAGCACCAAGGGCCTGAGTTTTAGGCCCAGTATACCTTGAAGACTTCCATTATTTCTTTGAGGATCCCCTACAGTAGCTTCCTGTGGAGACCTTCATTAGCTTGGGGATACCTACAAGATACCTTGAAACCTGTTTCTGGTCATCCATTCTGGAGAACGTGGGGACTGGGAACTTTGGGCTTTCTCTGACTTAGCACGGATCCTGGAGAAGCAAGAGCCTAACCCTTCTTGTGCTCCTTAGGATGGAGTCCACAGAGAAGTGTGAAGCCATCATCACCCACTTTAATGGAAAATATATTAAGACACCCCCTGGAGTGCCAGGTGAGGCGGGGAACCACGCTAAGAGCCGCAGGTGGCTCCTCCCAGTGGAGATTGTGGTGAGAGCAGCTTAGTGGTGACAGCTGTCTATCTGTTCTCTGTCTTGCCAGCACCATCTGATCCCTTGCTTTGCAAATTTGCTGATGGTGGACCAAAGAAACGACAGAACCAAGGAAAATTTGTGCAAAATGGACGGGCCTGGCCAAGGAATGGAGACATGGTAAGAGACCTTCCTCTGAGGAATCAGGACTGAGGACACCAGGAGTAGAATGACCCTGGCAAGCTGGAGAGCTATAGACATCCCTGAGAGGTGCTGGCCACATCATGCTTTGGTGTGTGCTAGGAACGTGGTTCTACAGCCTGCATCGTCAATGGAATTCAGGAGCAGCTGGAATGGGACGTGTTGGGACTTTGATTGGATGAACTGCATTCACTAGAACCTGGGCATTCTGGGATTGAACTGTTCTTTTCTTTATAGGGAGGTATGGCCTTGACCTATGACCCAACCACAGCGCTTCAAAATGGGTAAAACTTTTTCTCTCTCTTTTTGGTAGTAGGGTGGCTTGAATTCAGGCCTTTGTGTTTTCTAGGCAGGTGCTATAACACTTGAGTTTCCCTCTTTCTATATTGCTTATTTTATTTTAATGTTTTTGTATGCCAATACTAGAATTTGAACTCAGGGCCTCAAAAATCTTGCTTAGCTTTTTTCTGCTCACGGTTTGTGTTCTACCACTTGAGCCACCCCTTCACATGTAGCTTTTTATTGGCCAATTAGAGATAAAGGTCTCTTGGATTTGTCTGCCCTGGCTGGCTTTGAACCTCAGTCCTCAGATCTCAGCCTTCCTAGTAGGTAGGGCTACAACCATGAGCCATTGGCACCTGGCTTATATTAGTGAATTTTGGGGTGTGGGGGGTGTCCAGTGGGGCTTAAACTCAAGGCCTGGGCACTAGCTCTAACTCTTTTTGCTTAAGGCTTGAGCCCTACTACTTAGAGCCACAGCACCACTTCTGGTTTTCTGGTGGTTAATTAGAGATAAGAGTCTCATGGGTTTTCCTGCCCCAGCTGGCTTTGAACTCCAATCCTCAGATCTTAGCCTCCCTCCCCGAGTACCTAAGATCACATGTGTGAGCCACCAGTGCCCAGTTTATATTAGTGGTTTTTTTTTTTTTTTTTGGTCGGTCATGGGGCTTAACTCTGGGCTTGGGCGCTGCCCCTCAGCTCTTCAGCTCAAGGGGAGCACTCTACCACTTGAGCTACAGCACTACTTCCCACTTTCTAGTGGTTTATTGGAGATAGGAGTTTCACGGTCTTTCCTGCCTGGGCTGGCTTTGAACCTCGATCCTCAGATCTCAGCCTCATGAGTAGCTAGGATTACAGGCATGAGCCATCGGCCCCTAGCCTTTATATTAGTGATTTTTGAGGCAGGATCTTCATGCCTGGACTGGGCTGCATTGTGATCCTTCTACTTGGCTTCCCCATGTTGCTTGGGTAATAGGTATGCAGCACGGCACCCAGCCATTGTGCTCCTCCCTGCGCTCTAGCAGGGAGACAAACACATACCACTGTGTTCAAGCATTAGTTGAGATTGAGTATTGTAAACTTTTTTTTTTTTTGGGGGGGGGGGGTCCAGTCGTGGGGCTTGAACTCTGGGCCTGGGCGCTGTCCCTCAGCTCTTCAGCTCAAGGCTAGCAGTCTACCGCTTGAGCCACAGCGCCACTTCCGGCTTTTTTCTTATGTGGTGCTGAAGAATCGAACCCAGGGCCTTGAGCATGCAAAACAAGTGCTCTACCACTGAGCCACCTTCCTAGCCCCGAGTCTTGTAAACTTTTATGCCCAAGTTGGTCTCTTACCACAATCCCCTCCCAAGTAGCTAGGATTATAGGTTTGAGCCTCTGCACATAGCGGGCACTGGTGTTTTATATGATCAAGACGTCTGAAAATGGCAATGGTATGGATTTTTATTTTCAAATAGAGTTAGTGGGAAGAGATCATGCCTTAATCAATCAAGGCCCTTTCCTTGTGCGTTCCTGTGGCTCTTCACTGAATCAGCTTCTTTTCTGCAGATTTTACCCAGCGCCTTATAACATCACTCCCAACAGGATGCTGGCTCAGCCTGCGCTCTCTCCTTACCTGCCATCTCCCGTGTCTTCCTATCAGGTATGCTCATGCCCCACAGAGAGCTGGTTTTCCCTATCACATGTTTTAGATAAAGGATTATAAGGCTAGAAACTACTTGTTTGGTTTTTCTTCTGTATATATTAAACTCAATGTTATATAAAAGCAGGAAATATGATTGTGTATATATATATATATATATATATATTTTTTTTTTTTTTTTTATCTGTACTGGGGCTTGAACTCAGGCAGGGCCTTATGCTCTGGTTTGGTTTTTTTCACTGAAGACTAGCAGAATCACAGCTCCACTTCTGACCTTTTGCTGGTTAATTGGCAATAAAAGTCTCAAGGATTTTCTGTCTGTGCTCCTCATAGCTCAGCCTGCTGAGTAACTAGAATTATAGGTGTGAGCCACTGGTGCCCGGCTGTACCTGGTGTATATGTTTTTCTTGCTCTCCACACAAGTAAACCTATGTTCATTTTCTTTTGGCCTGCATTTTTCCATGTTATAGTTCAAATGGATATCTACATATGCACAAGGTTTGGGGAATCATTTTATTTTACAAAAATCAAAGCATGTTAAGTTTATACTGTAGCTCTTTATTTAGTATATCTTTGACTAGTGACAGTTGTGTGAGGTCTCAGCAATAGCTGGGGTTTATAGAAATATACATGGAGGGGTCCTACCCAGAGAGCCTAGTAAAAATTGTGTGTGTGTGTGTGTGTGTATGTGTGTGTGTGTGTGTGTGTGTGTACAGGTTCTGGGGCTTGACCTCAGGGCTGAGCACTGTTCCTGAGCTTGTTTTGCTCAAGGCTAGTGCTCTACCACTCAAGCCACAGTTCTACTATAGAGGGTTTTGCTCTAATGATTTATTTATTTGTTTATTTTTTGTCAGTTATGGCCTGGGTACTGACCCTGGGTTTCTTTCGCTCAAGGCTAGCACTCTACCACTTGAGCCACAGCACCACCCAGTTTTCTGGTGGTTAATTAGAGATAAGTCTCATGGACTTTACTGGTTGGATTGGCTTTGAATCATGATCCTCAGATCTCAATCTCCTGAATAACTAGGATTACGGGCATGAGCCTCCAACACCTGGCTTCAGAAACATTTTTTTTGTCCATTGTGGGGCTTGAACTCTGGGCCTGGGAGCTGTCCTTCAACTCTTCAGCTCAAGGCTAGCACTCTACTACTTGAGCCACAGCTCCACTTCCAGGTTTTTTGGTGGTTTATTGGAGGTAAGAGTCTCACTGGACTTTCCTGCCCAGGTTGGCTTTGGACTGCAATCCTCAGATCTCAGCCTCTTGAGTAGCTAGGCTTACAGGTGTGAGCCACCAGTGCCCAGCTTTCCAGAAACATTTCTATACATCTGTTCTTACATAGAAATCTGTGCTTTTACTTCTGGAAGCTAGAGTCCCAGGAGTGGGATTGCTAGGTTGAATAGTATGTAGATTTTTAGTTTTATAAAAGTTGACAGATTCTTCCACAAGATCTGTGTCAATTCACTTCCTCCCACAATGTGGGAGGAGTTCCCTCTCAGCCACAGGTGTCTTTGCTTTCTTCTTTTTGTGCTGATACTGAGGCTTAAACACAGCCTCATGTTCCTTCTTGACTTTTTCAACTCAAGGCTAGCTCTCAACCATGTGAGCCATACCGCCATGTCCAGCTTTTGCTGGTTAATTGGAAATAAGCATCTTGCTGGTACCCAGCAGGAACAGCTGCATTCTGATGGGGTATTTCAACTTTTGGAGACTTTGCTGCTCAGGGAGCTGAACAGTGGTTTCTAAGAAGAATGACATTTTTTTTTTGTTTGTTTTTATTTCCATCAGAGAATGACACAGACATCGCCTCTACAAGTACCTAACCCATCCTGGATGCACCACCAGTCATACCTCATGCAGCCTTCAGTGAGTTCCCCCATGGGCCAAAGCCAGAGAGACAATTTGATATGAAAAAAGACAAAGGGCCGGGTGCTGGTGGCTCATGCCTATAATCCTAGCTACACCAGAGGCTGAGATCTGAGAATTGTGGTTCAATGCTAGCCTGGGCAGGAAAGTCTGTGAGACTTTTTTTTTTCCCCAGTCCTGGAGCTTGAACTCAGGGTCTGACACTGTCCCTGAGCTTCTTTTGCTCAAAGCTAGCACGCTACCACTTGAGCCACAGTTCCACGTCTGGCTTTTTCTGTGGTACTAAGGAATCAAACCCAGGGCTTCATGCATGCTAAGTGAGCACTCTAGCACTGAGCCACATTCCCAGCCAATGTGAGACTCTTATCTCCAATTAATCACCAAAAACCAGGGATAGTGCCAAGGCCTGGAGTTCAAACCCCACAACCAACAACAACAACAAAGACAAAGGAAGATGACAGGAAATGTGGGTGTGAGTTCTGACACAGTGTCTGGTGCAACTCAACTAGAAGCCCTTAAATTCAGTGAGTTCATCCTTGGACAAAGTTCTCCCCCATCTAATGAGCAGAGTACTTGTTCCTGTTTCAGAGATGGCTTGCTTCTCACTGGAATTTTTAATTTCCAAGATTTAAAAATATGTCTTTGGGGCTGAGAAGGTGGCTCAGTGGTAGAGCGCTTGCCTTGCATGCTTGAGGTCCTGGGTTCGATTCCTCAGCACCACATAAGCAAAAAGAAAAAAAGCTGGAAGTGGCGTTGTGGCTCAAGTGGTAGAGCACTAGCCTTGAGCTGAAGAGCTGAGGGACAGCGCCCAGGCCCAACCTAGGGACACAGCCCAGGCCCTGAGTTCAAGCCGCAAGACCAGCAAAAAATAAAAATAAAAAAAGTCTTTGTTGGGTGCAGATGAAGGTGAATCATACCTGTAATCCTAGCTACTCAGGAGGCTGAGATCTAAGGATGACAGTTCAAAGCCAGCCCAGGCAGAAAAAGTCCATGAGACTCTCCTCTCCAACTAACTAGTAAAAAGCCCGAAATGGAGCTGTGGCTCAAGTAGTAGAGTGCTAGTCTTGAGCAAAAGAATTCAGGGATGGCTCAGGCCCTGAATTCAAGCCCCCAGTACCAGAACACAAAAAAGTCTGTTTACTGGGCACTGGTAGCTCATGCCTATAATCCTAGCTACTCAGGAGGCTGAGATCTGAAGATCACGGTTCAAAGCCAGACGGAGCAGGAAAGTCCGTGAGACTCTTATCTCCAATAAACTACTCAGAAAACCAGAAGTGGTGCTATGGCTCAAGTGGTAGAGCGCTAGCCTTGAGCTGAAGAGCTGAGGGACAGCGCCCAGGCTCAGAGTTCAAGCCCCATGACCGACAAAAAAAAAGTCTGCTTTCCCTGGTCCTAGATGTCTTCAATCTCTGCTGCAGGCAGCTTCACTGAGTGCTGCTACCTAACATTTTCCTTTGTTGTGGCTTCTAGGGCTCAGTTCTAACACCAGGGATGGATCATCCCATTTCTCTCCAGCCTGCCTCCATGATGGGACCCCTTACCCAGCAACTGGGCCACCTCTCGCTCAGCAGCACAGGCACGGTAAAGCAATCTATTTCTAAGCAGAAATTCCTATACAGCAGCCAGCACTGGTGGCTCATACCTATAATCCTAGCTACTCAGGAGGTTGAGATCTAAGGATTGCATTTCAAAGCCAGCCCAGGCAGGAAAATTGGTGAGGCTTTCATCTCCAGCTAATCACCAAAAAGCCAGAAGTGGGACTATGGCTCAAGTGGTAGAATGCACCTTGAGTAAAAAAGCTAATGGAATATACCTAGGCCCTGTGTTCAAACTAGCATACAAATAAATAAATAAGCCAGGCACCAGGGCTCACACCTATAATCCTAACCACTGAGAAAGCTGAGATCTGAGTATCATGGTTCAAAGCCAGGCTGGGCAGGAAGGTCTTTGAAACTCTTACCTTCAATTAAGGAAAAAGCTGGAGGGGCTGGGAAGGTGGCTCAGTGGTAAGTGCTTGCCTTGTACCACATAAGCAGAAAAAGCTGGAAGTGGTGCTATGGCTCAAGTGGTAGAGTGCTAGCCTTGAGCTGAAGAGCTGGGCCTAGGCCCAGAGTTCTGACCCCACGACCAACAAAAAAAAAACAACAACAACAGCTTAGAGACAGCACCCAGGCCCTGAGATCAAGTCCCAAGGTGGCACAAAAAACAAACAAATGAAATAAAAATAAATTCCTATAGGGCAAGATATACTTATGTGAAATTTCTCTGCATAAATAGTTAGGATGGAGTCACTTTAGTGTCATTGAAGGCACCTAGAATTAGAGATAAATTGTAAAAATAATCCATAAACCAGAATGTAGTCCAGCCAGCCCTCTTTACCTGCTTCCCAGCCACTGTGGGTCAGTTTAAGACCTGATTCATGGGGCTGGGAAGGTGGCTCAGTGGCAGAGCGCTTGCTTTGCATGCATGAGGCCCTGGGTTCGATTCCTTAGCACCACATAAGCAAAAAGAAAAAAGCTGGAAGTGGTGCTGTGGCTCAAGTGGTAGGGCACTAGCCTTGAGCTGAAGAGCTGAGGGACAGTGCCGAGGCCCAGAGTTCAGGCCCCAGGATGAGACCCAAAAAAAAAAAAAAAAAGACCTGATTTGCATTTCCTAGAAATACATGGCCAAATAGTAACAGGAAGAAAAGATGAAGTGCATTAGGTTTCTTTGGGGCTTTCTGTGCAGGAGGGTGATGGGCAGGAGGAAAGCAGGTGGTAAGGAAGAGCAGTCATGCAGCTAGATGCTTTTCTATGCCAGAGAGTGCTAGCACCACCTGGAATGCTTTAAGAAGTATGCAGGTTGGAGCATGGCTCAAGTGGTTAAAAGTTGTTGCTTAGCAAACAGTCCCTGAGTTCAAACCTTGGTACTGAAAAAAGAAAAAAAAAAAAGGCTGCACAGAGACAAAGAAAATTAGAATCTCTATCAGGTTTTGTTTTTGTGTCAGTACTGGGGCTTGAAGTCAGTGTCTCATGCTTTTTTTTTTTTTGGGTCCGGTCGTGGGGCCTGAACTCTGGGCCTCGGCACTGTCCCTCAGCTCTTCAGCTCAAGGCTAGCGCTCTACCACTTGAGCCACAGCACCACTTCCGGCTTTTTTTCTTTTTGCTTATATGGTGCTGGGGAATCAAACCCAGGGCCTCATGCATGCAAGGCAAGAGCTCTACCACTGAGCCACCTTCCCAGCCCCTCTCATGCTCTCTTGAAACACATCTGTAGCGGTAGCTCACATCTGTAATCCTAGCCACTTAGGAAAGGCCGAGATCTGAGGATCAAAGTTCAAAGCCAGCCCAAGCAGGAAAGTCCATAGACTCTTATCTCCATTAAGCCACTAAGAAAACTGGAGTGCCACTGTGGCTCAAGTGGTAGAGCACTTGCCTTGAGCTGAAGAGCGTAGGGACAGCCCCCAAGCCCAGAGTTCAAGCCCCACGACCGACCAACAAAACAAAACAAAAAGAAACACATGGGCTGTGGCTCAGTGGTAGAGTGCCTGCCTTGCATGCATGAGGCCCTGGGTTCGATTCCTCAGCACCACATAAGCAAAAAAAAAAAAAAAAAAATCTCTGTTTCCTGGTATTAGTATTTTATAAAGCTCTCCAGAGCTGAGAATCAGTGACACATGCCTGTAATCCTAGCTATTCAAGAGGCTGAGAGCTGGAGGATCACAAGACCAGCCCAGGCAGAAAAGGTTTGCTAGATTCCATCTCCAAAAATGAGCAGCAAAAATTAGGGCTGGAGGTATGGCTCAAGTGGTAGAGCAAGAGCCAAGCAAGCATGAGGGCCTGAGATCAACCTTCAGCCTCCGCACTTCTGCCATCCCCCACCACCAAGAACCATTTTGTAACCTCTTGGTGTTTTTATTCTAGTACATGCCAACAGCTGCCACTATGCAAGGAGCTTACATCTCCCAGTACCCACCTGTGCCTTCTTCTAACGTTTCAGTGGAGGTAAGCGCACCATTTCTTTACAGCGAGGAAAGGACCTTCCTCTCCCCAGGGTGTTCACAAATAGCTGGGAGGTACATGAAGAACATAGGAAGCAACTGGGAACCAGGAGCTACTCAGGAAGCTTGAGATCTGAAGATCAAGGTTTAAAGCCAGCCTGGGCAGGAAACGTCCATGTGACTTTTACCTCCATTTAACAAGCAAAAGCCAGAAGTGGAACTGTGGCTCAAGTGGTAGGACACTAGTCAAGTGAAAAAGCTCAGAGAAGGTGCCCTAAGGTTCTGAGTTCAAGCCCCAGAACTGGCTCCTCTACCACAGGAAAAAAAAATATAGGAAGCAAAGATTTTGTCTGTTATGGCCAGCGAGGTTAATGCCAGGATACTATCTTGAATTGCCTCATGTCTTAGGAAGAGGGCAGGTTGCTGTGAGCACTGAGGAGCTGCTGAAATGTTCCCAGTACAGCTGCAGTGTGGTGCTGGGGTGCATCCTCACAGGAGAGTGGTGGGCTCTGGTGAGGCTACTTTATGTGAGTGACTCTTCTTCTTGGCTGTGGTGCAGGAGAACAGTGGCCAGCAAAATCAAGTGGCAGTGGAGACACCCTCAGACCATGGGGTTTACTCTTTCCAGTTCAGCAAGTAATGACAGGTAAGAAGCTCCAGCTAGGGGACATGCCCCTAGCACAGCCTCTGATTTAGGCTACCTTTAGCATTCACCTCAATTTCCATTCGTTGAATAGAAATGAATTCTTAGCCAGGCAAAGAATACAGGTGGCTCACACCTGTAATCCTAGCAACTCAGGAGGCTGAGATCTGAGGACTGTGGTTGGAAGCCAGCCTGGACAGGAAAGCCCAAGAGACTATTTTCAGTTAAACCATCAGAAGGTAGAGCTGTGGCTCAAATGGTAGAGCACTAGCCTTGCACACAAAAGCACAAAAGCTCAAGGACAGCACCCAGGTCCTAGGTTCAAGCCCCAGAACTGGCACTCGCCTGCATGCGTGTACACAGAGAGAAAATTCTTGGAAACACCCCAGACTCAAGGGTTAAGCAAGTTACCATCTGTAGACTGTACTATGGACTAACGATTGGGCATCATTTTTCACAGACCTGGGCCAAGAGAAGAAACCTTGACACTCCTGCCCTGTGCTGTTTCTTCATTGCTGACGGAGGCTGGGCACCTGTCACTTTTTCTATGTGCTACACTCAAGGAGATCAAAGAAACCTTTTTCTTTTGCAAAGAAAGTTTTTTGCTTTGTTTTTATTGCAATGTACTTTTCTCCTACCCCAAAGAGACATGGCGGCTGGAGCTTCTCATCTGCATGAAGAACTGTTTTTTTAATTATTCATTGGCGTGATTTGAGAAGGCTTTTAAAATGATTGGAATTATTTCTTTAAACCAAAACAAAAAAAAACAGAAAGACATGGTGCTAGAAGGCTGACAAAGGAGCCTGCTTGCTGCGTTTGGTTATGGACTTTTTTTTTGATATGTGTGTATGTGTTTAAGAAATATGCAGACTTTGTTTTATAAAGCTCTCAGCTCACATCAGTCTCCTCTTTACACATTTTTTTGGTTTGCTTTCTCTCATCCAAGTTGTTCTGTTTTTCTTTTCCATATAGCTGAGCTTTCCTGCTTTGCTTTTTTTTTTTTTTTTTTTTAGTTTTTTGTGAATTTCTTTTTTGAATGAAATTTCCTGTAAATTTGGAGGTGGAGAAGAAATGGGCAAGGACAAAGTAGAATCCTAACAGCCAGAGGAAGTAGCTTGCTCCCTGGCTCTGTCTCATCTTGGGAAGAAAAGACTGGAGTCTGGCTACAGTAAGCACAGCTGTGAACTAGGCTCCAGGAAACCACCTCACCTGCTGTGCACTCGTGGCTAACACCTGTAATTCTAAGCTACTCAGAAGGCTGAGATCTGAAGATCATGGCCAGGAAAGTGCATGAGTGTCTTATCTTCAATTAACCACCCAAAAAGCTGGAAGTGGAGCTGTGACTCAAGAGGCGGAATACCAGCTTTGAATGAAAGAGCTAAGGGATAGTGTCTAGGCCTTGAGTTCAAGCCTCAGAACTGGCACGAAAAGAAAAAGAAAAAAGAAACCACCTCACAACCTTCAAAAGCCATCCTTGAAATAAATTTGCCTCTTTCCTGGCAAGTTCCGGAATGACAGACTTACTGGCTTGTGACTAGCATTCACTGCCCAGCCTACCACCTTCATAGGAAGCTTTGTTCCCAGCCTCAGATTTTCAGGAATGTCTGCTCTCCTGCCCTGGGAGGATCTTCTCTTCTGCTGGGTCTCTCAGCCTCGTTTTTCCCTGCAGCTCATTGCTGTATTATGTACTATCTGCAGCTGTGACCTTGCCGAATCCACATCAGCCTCCTTCCCACTGGGGAAGACCTGCTGTTTCACCCATGGACCAGTGGTTCTTGACTGCAGGTGGCTTATCCCCCAAGAGATGGTTCCTGATATCTGACATCTTTCATTGCCATGCCCAAGGATGGTTGTGTACGCTACTGGTATCTAGTTGGTGTCGGCCTGGATGCTGATGGCTAGCCTATGGTGTACAAATACCGTCAAAGATTTTTCTGGCTCAAAACATCACTAGTGCTTTGATGAAAACAATGCTTCTCTGCCCTCTGGGAGTCAGGTGAACCTGCACCCTGGACACAAAGTGCCTTTTGACATTACTACACTTGGTTGGGAGGGATGGAACTGTTGTAATCTTTGACATCTCTATGCAAGAGCCATCCTTGCATAGTGCATTGCTGTTGTGCACAGGCCAGCACATTTGGCTTGAAAGAATCGAGGTGGGACAAGGACAGAACGTGGACAGAGCTCTCCTAAGTGTGCTGAGTAATCTCCCCTCCCCCTGCTCTGGTATATTTGGACCCCTTCTCCAGGGATCCAGCACATCAGAAATAATTTTCCTTCTTGTAGAAGGCCAACAGGGAGGTAGGGGAGGAAAGAGCAATCTACATCCCACCTCATTCTTCACAAGATCAGGAAAGACATTTTAAAATCTCTCTGGTCTTTTAACTGTCATCTTCTGCAAGACTTGACTGCACATAGACAGGTAGGAGAAAGTTTTGCCCATCCACTAGGAAGTAAGATCCTATTCCTGACTTCTCCCAGACACTTGCTCCCACACAAAGTCCCCCTTGGTGTTGGGGCCAGGTATGTCTCCTGAGACAATTGGGCAAGCAAGTGATGGAGCTAATGAGAAAGGAGCTCAGAAGATAGTGTCAGAGCAGAGGAGAAAAACTGTGGCTTAGTCTCTGTACGCAGAACTTGAGGTCTAGCTTTGCCCCCCCTTGCCTCTCACCCCAGAATTGAGGGTTCCAGCCCTCCCTAGCTCCAATTGTCTCTCTGTACGTCCTACCAGTAAGGGAGTTGGACCACTGGGAGGATACAAAGGTAAAGTGCAAAAAACCAAACAAACAAAAAACCTGGCTACTGTTTTCTCACTGGTTCTGCAGGAAAGGCTTATCCAAACCCAGTAGCCTTCTAGAAGGCTAACTTAACTGGATAATTCTTTTTTGTGTCCCTAGCCCTTAGTAAACATTAGTACAGCAGAGCTACTTTCTTGAGGGAGGCCATTAAGAGAAAAACCCAGATGTCTGTTCATTGGACTGGAGGTAGATTGAGGAGTCTTGGTAGGTTATTTGTGGGGGAGGGTTCCTATAACCCCGATGACACTGCAGCTGTCTGCCTCTTAGAAGTCACGCTTGTCTCCTTCCTCTGTGCTTAATATGGTCAGATGCGTTGTGTAAGTTTTCGAATTACCATTTGAGCATCTTATGTGAATCTGAGTGTTTCTGATTGGGGCCGGTATGGACATGGGAGTGAGGGGGAGCCTGCAGTTGTTTTTGTCATGGCTAATCCCACTGAGGAATTTCTTTTTGGTGCTTTTGGTCTATACCCCTATTTTCCCTTTTTAAAAAAGCTGATTTCTGATGGTGGGTGTGACTGGAGAAGGGCGGGGCTAAGCACTATGCCTAGTGTTTCTGAATCCTGTCTTTAGTCAGGTTTTTCCTGTCTTTTGCATCTCACCCCCACTTATTATAGTTGCTTTCAAAATTCTTTTCTTGGTTTTTGTTTTAATAGAAACTACCAGAGTCTGTTCCTTCACTAGGCCCCAAGCCCATTTCATCTCATGCCATTATGACTGCTACTCTCAGACCCCAAAGAGATTTGACTTTGAGGATACAGAAGCCCATGAGGAAGGCAGGCATAGGAATGATGGGGAACATGGTTAGTTTTGTGTTTTCAACCAAAGAATTTGAAGAGCTGCCCAGCCTGGGAAGCCCACTGGCTCAGAGAAGGTAACTGCCCTCATCAGGAATAGACAGGGGTGGGAGATGATAGTATTTGCACTGAGGCAGAAGACCAGACTTTGCTGCTCACCTCTGGTTAGGCCACCACCACCCTATTCCCTTCCTCCTCCTACCTACCTTGCAAGTAGGTAAGCTTCTTTCACCTTTCTCCATTTTCCAGTGTCTTCAGGGCTCATTCGCTGTGACTACATCAAGTCGCTGAAGCCAAGACCTAAATCTGGGCTGTTGCCCCACCAGAAGCATGGTGAGAGCCCCTGCTGATGTTGCATGGGTCTTTGGCAGTGGCTTCTAGAAAAGACTATTGCAAACCAAATATAGTGGCATCCTTTGATAATCCCAGCATGCTGGGAGGCAGACAGGACAACTTCAAGGCCAGCCTAAGCTACTACACAGGAGAGAGAGTCATCAACAAAGAACCAGTGTTGCTCCTCAACAGGAGCCCACCTTTATGGGAACACGGCAGCATAGCTCCTATCAGGACAGTAGCATTATCAGTTTGCATTCCTTAGCCAAGAGCAACACTTGGATGGGTTAGTCAGGTCCAAACTTGCCCTATCTTCCTCCAGGCCTCGAATAGTGCACGCCAGAGAAACAGGCGAGGGTCATCATAGCCTGTCTGTAGGTCCTATAGTTTTGTGCCTTGTTACATGAATTCTTCCTGATTGCCTTTAAAATCAGCTATTCCATTTCAGGACAGCTTGCCTTGTCTTTGCAAGCATTAGCAGAATCCAGAAGTTTACTCAGCTGTTCACCCGCTCCCTCCAGTTTTCCCTCAGCAGCTAAAACTAGCCTGCAGCTCTCTTCCTTCACATGAGGAAGCTGGGTGCTCTCATCACCTGTGACCACTGCTTTGTCCTGCCTATCCAATAAGCATGTCCAACAAGCCCATCCCCAAACTTCCTCATCCTTGTTACTTATCTACCTCAACCTCACAATTCAACAAGGGCACCAACACCTGACTTGTATTGCATCTTGTCCTTGTCTTCATGAGGGTTAGGAAGCTGGGGCTAGAAAGGGTGCATCAACAAATGCAGACTCTCCTAATGGTTGTTTCTGGGATGTCTTCTCTGGGTATTTTTGGCTCACTGACCGTCCTAGACAGGTCCATTTGGTAGGACCTATCTGTGGCAGGCCATGGGGAGACTTGAGTGGTGACCACTTAGGATAACAATGGTTGAGTACCCCAGACTACCACCATCAGAGCAGAGCTTAGAATTTAGGAGAATTCATTAGTGGGGCTACCAAATGAGAAGGTAAGCAAGCACCAAAGAGGGAGTTAGTAATTTTAGTTAGTGCTGGAAGCAGATGCTCCTTCTCTACCTCAACTCCATTTGTCTACAGGGTTGAGGAATTGCTGCCAGCCTAGAGGGAGATGAGATTCTCAACTTTTCCAGCCTGACCAACCCCCTTCCCCCCTCCCCATCGCTGGTGTTGACTCTCCAACACATACCCTTTTTGTCCACATTGAGTGGGTGGATCCTCTGTTGTGTGCACTTATCACCTGGAGAAGAAATGAGTTTAATTTATACTTAAAACACATTTTGTACGTGTTTTTCCTTATGCAGAGACCTCTAGTTTTATACTCTTCCCATGTTTAGGCCAATACCACCTTTCTAGCTTCTTCCCTTTTCTGACCCTTTGTCTTTTCCTGTAACCTATAATTTGGTAAGAGCTTCATTTTGGCTTTTTTAAATAAAACATAAAATCCAGAGTGTTGGTGTATTTTCTTTCTTTTTCTCAAGTCAGTCCTGGGGCTTGAACTTAGGCCTTGGGCACTCTCCCTGAGCCCTTTGTGCTCAAGGCTAGCTACCACTTGAGCTACATCTCCCACTATGTTTTCTGGTGGTTAATTGGAGATTAAGAGCCTCATGGACTTTTCTGCCCAAGCTGGCTTCAAATTGTGCTCCTCAGAGATCAGCCTGAGTAGCTAGGATTACAGGTGTGAGCCACTGGCTCCTGGCTTGTTGGTGATGGGCCTGTATTTGCTACCCTAGGAACCCAGGGGCAGCTTGGGAGGAGAAGACTCTGCATACAAGAAGGCAGGGACCAGCCGGGCGCTGGTGGAGCCTGTAATCCTAGCTACTCAGGAGGCTGAGATCTGAGGATCGTGGTTCAAAGCCAGCCCGAGCAGGAGAAAGACCGTGAGACTCCTATCTCCAATAAAACACCAGAAAACCGGAAGTGGCGCTGTAGCTCAAGTGGTAGAGCGCTCGCCTTGAGCTGAAGAGCTGAGGGACAGCGCCCAGGCCCAGAGTTCAAGCCCCATGACCGACAAAAAAAAAAGAAGGCAGGGACCAACACACTTGACTCTCATTTTGCCCTGCACCTCAGACTTTCCAACAGGACCCTAGAGCCACAAGGGCAGGGGTAGGGAACGAAGTGTACAGAATTCTGCCTTTGGCAAAGTGGCTAGGCTGAGAGGTAAACCTGTCTTTCATACCAAGCCAGTCATATCGATCAATACCCAGTCAGCCCCTTAGGTATGTGTGAGAATCAATGCTGAAAGGAACAAAGACACAGAGTCCTTTGAATCTCTATCAAATGTGGTTTTTATTCAACTGACAAGCACTTTTCTACAGCTGCACTTGTGGAACATCACATGGCAA